GTCCGTGGGCCCCCGCAGGCCTGGAACCCCCATGCCATGCAATTCCCCGCTGATCTGACCCGAGAAGCCTGCAGGACCCGCCCCCGGCAGCTGCGGCTCATCTGCATCTACTACTTCACCAACTACTTTTTCAAGGTCAGCGGGATGGCGGCCTTTTCGTAGGGCACTGCAGGCCTTCATACCACTGTCCGACCTCTGGGTGGGGGCCCACACCCAGTGGGACCAGTCTGCTGTGCCATCGGAGGTAGCCTTTGCCCCTCTCTGGGCCTCAGTTTCCCTACCAGTTCCAGCAGAATGGCAGGAAAGTACAACTGCAATCTGCAAATGAGATCTCAGAAATCTACTCAGGTGCCCGTCCCCAGGGTGGGCGTCAGACAAGAAGACGCCAGACCCTGGCCTCAGAGAACCCTTTGTCTCAACACTTAGACCTTAGAGTTTTGATGCTAGCACAAGGTTGATTACGGCCACAGAGATACAAGCAATGATGAGTCTCCCCAAGAGGCAGTCCAGGAGGGCTTCTGGAGAAGGTGCCTTTCAGCCATGGTTTGGAAATGAGTTGGGGCAGTGGCGAGTGGAGAGTGTAACATTTGGAAATACCAAAAGAGGCACAGGACAAAGGGCTGGTATAAACCAAGTGTCTATTGGGGGAGAAACCCCCCGGGCGAGGTCCCGTGGTCCGGAAAGCTGGGCCAGGGGAGTCGCGCCCGAGGAGGGGCAGGCTTGGGTTTTTAAGGGAGCTGTCTTTAGGGAGGGTGTTGGGGGCAGCAGTGAAGTGGGGAGACAAAGCATTGCATCCGCCGTGGGCTGGAAAGTTTCTGTCTTGCCCTTCTCAGCAGCTGCTGGCAGGTTTCAGGAAGCTGGCCTGTGGTTTGGGGGTTTAGGGAGGAGGGGCGCCTAGGGGATCGGTGGGTGGAGGGGCAGATGGGGGAAGGTGAGTGCTGCTTCTCCCCGGGTCTAACAGAGAATGTGGGGCTGTGAATGCATTAAATGGAAGGGGCTGGGCATAGTAGCTCATGCCTGTAATCCCAGCACTTTGGGAGGCTAAAGCAGGAAGATCACTTGAGCCCAGGAATTTGAGACTAGCCTGGGAAACATAGCGAGACCTCGTCTCTACAAACAAACAAACAAAGTATGTGAAAAAAAATGACAGGCGCATGATGGCACATGCCTGTACCTGTAGTCCCAGCCACTCGGGAGGCTGAGGCAGAAGGATCACCTGAACCCAGGGGGTCAAGGCTGCAGTGAGCCGTGATCGTGCCACTGCACTCCAGCCTGGGCCACAGAGTGAGACCCCAACTCAAAAAAACCCCCAAAACAAACAACAATAAAATGGGTGGAGGGGCAGTGGGTGGTGAGAGCGCAGTTTTCAGGGAGCGGAGCAGCATACACATGGCTGGGAGACTGGCCCACACTGGGCCCAAGAAAGGCGTGCTCTGTTCTCATCCAGGGAGGGGAGCTCAAACCTCAGCCAAGGTCTACCCGCTCCCCTCCTCTCAGCCCCCCACCTGCTGCCCTTCCAGGATGAAGACAACTCATCTCTGCTCAATAACTACGTCCTGGGTGCCCAGCTGAGCCACGGGCCCGTGGAAAACCTCAGGGATCCGGTCAACATCAGCTTCTGGCACAACCAAAGCCTGGTACTGCTGAGGGAGCCCCCTTTGCCACCCCACCCCTGCCCCCCTGTGGCTCTCCTCTTGAACATCAGTTTGTGCAAACCCAGACCCGTGGAACCAACCATCTTGGAAACAGACTGTTTTAAATCCATCGCACTTTGAAAATGCCTGCCACAGAAATTAGAAAATGCATTCCCTGCCTGAGTCAGAATTCTTTCAGTTGCAAGTAATCGAAGACCACGTCCAGCCAGTGTTAGGTACAAAAGAAGTTTATCGGCGCACATGAATGGAATGTCCAGGGTTGATCCACCAGCCTCAGGCACGGCTGGATCCAGGGACAGACACGGTGTCATCCTCTCTCAGCAATGGTTTCTTGCCTTTCTTCCCATTCTGTGGCAAGACGGACGCTGGAGTGCCAGACTTCCTGCCCTCTTCCCAGCAGGCTCTTCCCCACCAGTGCCGATCAGGGTCCGGGGTCTTCGAGGCTCAGCTGGGTCACGTGTCCACCCTGCAGCCGTCACTGTGACCAGAGGGATGGAGTGTGTGGGTTGGCCAGGACCAGGTTATGTGGCCCAGGGACTGGGGTATAGGAGCCGGCTCTGAAGGGAAGCACAGATGCTGATCCTGGAATGTGGGAGAGGGCTTCTTGGGGGAGAGGGTTGGGCACAAGCCCCAGTGCCTGCTTCCTTGTTACTGGCGTTCAGAGCCTCTGCTCTCTGCTTCGTCTTCCGTCTTCCCCTCGCCGTGTCGGGCCTGCCCGGCCTTCCGATGTCACCACCACCCTTTCCTCTCACCCCCTAGGCTTTTGCCACACCATTCCCTTTACTGGGAATGCCTTGCTCTGCCCGTGTTGAGATCCCCACCCCCTTGGAGGCCTGCTTCTCGGGACACCCTGTCCTCCACGGTTTTCTGTGGCACTGCCCGGGTTGTCTCTGCCACGCTTCCACTCACATGGCTCGGAGTCAGGGCGGTCTGGGGCAGGTCTCTCTCCCCCAGCGGGCATGGGTCTGGACCACTGCTGCTCCCCCATGGGAGGGGGGAAGGCCAGCGCTGGGCGCCCAAGAGTCCACCTGGGCTGAACCCTTCCACCGTGCTTGTAATTGGGGTGTAAATGACCCCACACTGCAGAGGAGTAAACTGAGGCTCAGAGCAGCTTGGCAACTTGCCCAGGTCACTCAGAGTCGTGGTGAGGGTGGGGCTGCCATCTGGGGCCATCGGGCACCCAGGCCCAGCCAGCTCCCGGTGAGGTGTTGACAAGCGTGCGGTTGAGTCGCCTCTGGCGCCCAGCGCCCCCAGACCTGATCTGTGACCCTTCCTCTGTGACCCTTGACTGACCCCAGCGTCTCGCCTCAGGAAGGCTACACAGTGACCTGCGTATTCTGGAAGGAGGGAGCCGGCAAGCACCACTGGGGAGCCTGGAGCTCTGAGGGGTGTCGCACAGAGCAGCCCTCGCCTTTCCACGTGCTGTGCCACTGCAACCACCTCACCTACTTTGCTGTTCTCATGGTAGGTCCACCTCCAGCCTGGGTGAGGAGGTCCGAGCAGTGGAGGGCCCTGTATCGTGGCAGAGGAGCAAGGGATAGAAAATCCAATGCAAATGGGCTTAAGCAAGAAAAAGAAAAGAAACCTATGGACTCTCTTTTCAGAAAAAGTGGGGTTAGGCTTTAGGCATGGCTGGATCCAGGGACTCAATATCACTAAGACAGTACTCTATGTCTGACCCTCAACCGCACTTGCTCTCTGTGGGCTCAGCCCTCAGATAGGATCTCCTTTTGGGATAAGAATGTGGCTGCCAGCAGTTCCCAGCTCATGCCCTGCCAGCCTTTAGGCCTGTGGAATGAGAGCTTCTCTCATCCATTCTGCCAGTCATGTGCTCGTCCCTGAACCGACCACGATGAGCAGGAGGAAGGAGGATGCCGATAGGCCAGGCCTGGCGTACCTGGGCGCACACAGTGGGAGAAGTGATGGAGCCCCCGGGTCCACAGATGGTGGGGAGGGGAGGTTCTCGTCAAGGGAGCCACTGTGTCTGCTGTGGCCTCTTCAAGCCTGGACCGTAGCGAGGTGTGGGGCAGGGGACTTGGAGCCGAGGTCTGCGCCTGGGAGGGAGGACGTCGCCAGCCCCGGCCTCCAGCCCCCTTGCCCCCGCAGCAGCTCTCCTCGGCCCCGGTCCCCGCAGAGTTACTGGCTCCTCTCACGTACATCTCCCTCGTGGGCTGCAGCATCTCCATCGTGGCCTCGCTGCTCACCATCCTGCTGCACCTCCACGCCAGGTACCCTCCTGCGCAGCACCCCGCCTGCCCTCCCACGTGGGCCCCTCGAGCGAGCAGCCCGCTTCAGGGGCCAGGGCCAGGATGCGGGGGACTGGCTCGTGCGTGTGGCTGCCGTGGCATCCCCGCCCTCTCTCGCCCTCAGTTTCCCTGTCTTTGTGCGTCTGTGGGGCCAGGGGGTGGTGCAGCCTGGGTGAGGTCCCCGGATCATGGAGGGCCATGCTCCCACCCACAGGAAGCAGAGCGATTCCACCACCCGCATCCACATGAACCTGCATGCCTCCGTGCTGCTGCTGAACGTCGCCTTCCTACTGAGCCCCGCGCTGGCCAGGCCCCCAGTGTCCGGGGCATGCACGGCACTGGCCGCGGCCCTGCATTACACGCTGCTCAGCTGCCTCACCTGGACGGCCGTCGAAGGCGTCAACCTCTGCCTCCTCCTTGGGCGCGTCTACAACGTCTACATTCGCCGATACATGCTCAAGCTCTGCGTGCTGGGCTGGGGTGAGCGTGTGGCCCCCTTTCCTCCCGAGGCCCCGGTGGGCAGGGCGTGGGTCCCTCCTGTCCTCTGTCCCTTCTGCTCCTCCCAGTGTCCACCTCGTGTCCACCAGTCATCCTCCTGTCAAAGCCCACCAACGATCTTTCTTTTTGAGTTGGAGTTTCACTCCGTCACCTAGGCTGGAGTGCAGTGGCACCCTCACGGCCACCCCGGCGTCGACCTGCTGGGCTCCGGCGATCCTTCCGCTTCAGTCCTCCAAGTAGCTGGAACCACAGGCGCGCGCTACCGCGCCCGGCTAATTTTTGATTTTTGTAGAGACGAGGTCTCACCAAGTTGCCCAGGAGGGTCTCGAACCTGCAGGTTCGGGCAATCCACTCCCTTCGACCTCCCAAAGTGCTGGGATTACAGGCTGAGCCACCGAGCCCGGCCCACAGATCTTTACAAGGCCGTTGTCATCACCTCCTCCCCCTCCATCCTCACCATCCTCACCTCCTCCACTTTCATCACCACCACATCACGTCTTCCACCCCCACGTCCGGTGTCATGACCTCCTCCACCTCTGTCATCTAGACATCACCACCATCATCACTTTCTCCACCTCCTCCACTTCCATCAGCACCGTCACTGGCACCTCTGTCACCATCCTCGCCCCTTCCTTATCATCTCTACTCCTCTTCAGTTCTGCAGCCCTCTCTCCCTTTGCTCCCCACTACCACCTCCCCAGTGTGAACACTCCTGCCGCCGCCGCCCTTACATCTAGAGCCCTCACTGACACCATCTTGGAGAAGAGCGTCCTCAAGGCTGCTGGGCTCACTGCTCTGAAGCTGGACCGCATGCTGGTGGCTGGAGGCCCAGACGGCCTCCACCCCCCTCCCTTGCCCAGTGGACTTCCGTTAGCGGACCCAGGGGCCGAGGGCCAGCTGCCACCAGTCTCCTGAGCCTCTGTTCCACTTCTCAGGGGTCCCGGCGCTCCTGGTGCTGCTTCCCCTTGCTGTGAATAGCTCAGTGTATGGACCTCGCACGATCTCCTTCTCCGACAGCTGGGAAAACGGCACGAGCTTCCAGAACATGTCCATGTGAGTGCCCTCGGGGCTACAGCGGGCGCCCGGCTCTGGCACGAGGGCTGCAGGGGCCTGGGGCTGGACATAGGGTATTCTGCAGGTGAGACACTGACTGGGGGGCAAAGAGGGAGCCGGGCTTGGACACAAGCCTGGCACATCCCTGCTGCTGGCTCCTGGTCTCCCACAGGGGCAGGCTTATATTCCACGCTGGCTAGCCCCAGGAAGCCAGCACCCATTCCCAGTCTTCGAGGCCAGGCAGCAGGGCTTCCCCCGGAAGCACATGGCCGCACGGCCCTCTGCCCACCCGCCCCTCCCTCCAGCTTCCAGCCCCGCAGGTCTGGCCTGGCCTGCACCTGACTCTCTTCCCCTGGAGACCACTTTGCTGCATGTGGCCAGGCTCCAGCTCTTGCCGGCCAGCACCGGGCACACACGCTGCCTCAGACCCTCCTAGTTGGAGAAGAGCATGTTGTGGGAACTGGGCTGGTGGGGGACGGGCTTGGGGCTCAGCACGTGACCAGGCTGGGGAGGCAAGGAGGGGCAGCAGAGGCGGGCCCTGGGGACAGACTCTGCCGCTTTCCCTTGCAGCCTTGGCTGCCTCTCCCTGAACCCTAAGACATCAGCTTTTTCATGCAACGTATCTGACAGCCAGACACAGACTCGCGTTGGAAACCCCCATGGACCCATGCCCAACAGGCGTCGGCCATCCTGCCTTCTTTTTCTCCCTGGACGGACCCAGGCTGGGTCTGCTGAGGGCTGACCCTGGGCAAGCCTTGGGTATTAGCCTGCTGAACCCCCATAACCGGGGAGGTGGTCCTGTTGTCCTGCTGTACAGTTGGTGCAACTGAGGCACAGACACGGGGCAAACAACCTGCCTTGGGATCTCCCGCCAGTCAACAGCAGGGTGGGGATTTGGTCTGGGGTGGCGGGTCCAGAGGCGCACCCAGTGGGAACTGGGCGCAGAGGTGGAGTGAATCCCTCTCACTGTGTGGATGCGCTGATGTCTCAGGGGAGGCGTGACCTAGGACTCTCTGAAGAGGTACTCCATCATGCAATTGTGTGATGCAGACGAAAGAGCATCCACAAACACACTGACACCCCAGCGCTGGAGACACTGGCCTGAGAGCTGGTGTCACCTGTGTCTTCATTACAGTTTCCCCTCCCCTCAGGAAATGATTATTCTGGACTTTCTTTTATTCCCCCTATGTGTAGTTTAAAAATGGCTTACTAGGTCGGGCATGGTGGCTCATGCCTGTAATCCCAGCACTTTGGGAGGTGGAGGCAAGAGGATTGCCTGAGCCCATGGGTTCAAGACCAGTCTGGGCAACTTGGCAAGACCTCATCGCTACAATAAATCAAAAATTAGCCAAGTGTGGTGGCATATGCCTGTGGTTCCAGCTACTTGAAAGGCTGAGGCGGAAGGATTGCCTGAGCCCAGCAGGTCGAGGCTGCGGTAGCTGTGAGTGTGTCACTACACTCCAGCTTGAGCAACAGAGTGAGACTCCAACTCAAAAAAAAAAAAAAAAAATGCACCTGCATTCCTTAAACACAAACGATCCCAAACAAAAAACAACCCTTGAAAATAACCCAAGCCGGGCTCGGTGGCTCAGCCTGTAATCCCGCGCCTTGGGAGGCCGAGGTGAGTGGATTGCTTGAGCCCGTGGGTTCAAGACCCGCCTGGGCAGCGAGACCTCATCTCTACAATAAATCAAAAAATGAGCCGGGCATGGTAGCACGCGCCTGTAATTCCAGATCCTCAGAAGGCTGAGGTGGAAGGATTGCTGGAGCCCAGCAGGTCGAAGCTGCGGTGGCCGGGAGTGGCCACCGCACTCCAGTCTGGGCGACAGAGTGAGACTCCAACTCAAAAAAAATAAAAAATAAAAAAATAACCCAAATGTCTGCTGACAGGACACTGGGTTGGTAAACAGGCTAGGATGCCATCTGGCAGTGGCAGTGAGTGACTCACATCACTCATGTCAACTTCGACGAGGCCCCCACAGGGTCTTCCAGGACCCTTGTGACGGCAGCCCAGGAGCCACACGGGAACCTGAGCAGGGCACTGTGCTGCGAGTCAGGCTCTAGACTCAGCCCACCAGGCTTCAGGCCTACCTTCGCCTCTTGCTAGAGCGTCAGTTTCCCCCTCTGTAGGCTGGGGTCGTCATGGGGATTACACGGGATAATTCATGTAAAGCGCGTGACACTTGTCCCACTGGGTGAAAGGCGCCACCTGTCTCAAAGGCATCCTCGGGAGGCAGAGGCCTGAAGGTCTCTGAAGGCCTCAGACCAGGGCTCCCCACACCTGGAGAGCACCTGCCGCCATGCGGAGGGAAGGCAGCCCAGCCCACTGCCTGGGACGGGGATGTTGGTCCAGCCTATGTGGGAGGGTTTCCTGGGGAGGGGCCTTCCCCACACAAAGATGGTGATAAGATGGTGACACTGCGTGGTGGGGAGGAAGGAGGAGTGTCTGGAAAGAGAGCCCAGGCGAGCATCCCATAGGAGATGTGCAAGCTGGCCTGGGGCCAGCCAGGGAAGGGGAGAGGGAGAGGCTTCAAGGGGGAGGCTCAGAGGCGTGAGACTGACTGCTGTGACTTGATGGGCCGGCATCGGGGCTTTGGAAAGGGGACCCAGGGGGTGGGTGGGTCCTAACGTGGTGGCCTGACTGGAAAGCGAGCGTGGGGCTTCGCCATGGGTGTGGTCGGGCGAGAAGCAATGGGATCTAACCAGAGTGCGGCCGGGTTGAGGCAGCATCCTGGGCCTCCCTGACGGTGAGCCTCGTGCTCTGCCCTTCCCCGCAGATGCTGGGTGCGGAGCCCCGTGCTGCACAGCGTCCTGGTCATGGGCTACGGCGGCCTCACATCCCTCTTCAACCTGGTGGTGCTGGCCTGGGCACTGTGGACCCTGCGCAGGCTGCGGGCCAGGGCGGAGGTGCGGAGTGCCCGGGCCTGCCGGGACACTGTCACCGTGCTGGGCCTGGCCGTGCTGCTGGGCTCCACCTGGGCCTTGGCCTTCTTCTCCTTCGGTGTCTTCCTGCTGCCCCAGCTGTTCCTCTTCACTATCTTCAACTCTCTGTATGGTAGGGCCCCGTGGGTGGCCGGGAGGAGGTGCCTGGGCGGGGAGGGGTGAGATGGGGAGAGGGATGGACAGGTGGTGGGAGGGTCACTGCCAAAGGGCTCTGGGTGGGGGGAGTGAGTGGGGGCTGATGTCTGGACCCCAGTCGCCAAGCTGGCAAGGCCTGTGTCAGCCCGGAGAAAGGAGTGCTGCCTTCTAACTGGCACAGAGGAACCAGTCAGGGAGGGTCCTCCAGCTCCTAGACTCCACCCCTTCTGGCCTCTAACAGAAATTCAAGGCCCAGCTCACCCCCAGCCAAGGAGATCCCAGTTCCGGGGAGGCCCTGCACGGTGCTGCTCCCACTGACCAGCCTTTTGCCTGTAGGTTTCTTCCTCTTCCTGTGGTTCTGCTCCCAGAAATGCCACTCCGAGGCCGAGGCCGAGGCCGAGATGGAGGCCTTCAGCTCCTCCCAGACAACCCCTCAGCCTGTCTGGCTGCCTGCAGCTTGAGGCCCGGGCTCCTCCCCAGAGGAGGCAGCAGGCCCGCTGCTGGACCCCAGAGGCCACTGTATCCCGGGAAGCCTCTTCTACCTTCAAACCTCCCCAGGCACAGAGGGCAGGGCATTGCTCTGCTCCTCCCTGGCATTCTGCTTCCGGGCCGGTCCATCCCCTCCCCGGCGCGACAACCTTCGTCCTGGCCAGGCATGTGGGCAGAACACTGGCCTGGGGGTCAGGAGGCCCCACTTCAAGGCCTGGCTCTGAGTTTCAGTGTGACCTTGGGCCTGTCATTTCTCACAGACCCTGGGCTTCACATTTGTGACATGGGAGCAGATGCTCTTGTCCTGCCTAAGCTGGGAGGCTTGAGAAGACTGAACAAGACCAGAGAGGGAGAGCGTCAGGGCGGAGTGGGAATGCCCATGACCTCCATCTGCCTGAGGGGGGTGGATCCCACAAGTTCTGGAGGCACCCGCATGGCCCTGCAGCCTCCTCCTGGGGAGGGCCAGATGGCATCCAGGCTTAGCGCTTAGAGATCCACACCAGTGCCTGAGACCTTACCAACCCATGTCTGAGACTTCTTTTCCTTTAATTCCTTGAGTTAGGGTGACTCCCAGTCCAGGCTCACTGTCCCAAAGACTGGGAAGTCCAGTTCGGCCCAGAGGCTTCACCTTCCACACCACCACCTGCCCAGAGACTCCCCCTGCCGTGCTCCCAAGACCCCCAGAGACCATTTCGACCAGCATATAGGGTTTCCTCGGGGTTGAAGGGGAATGCCTCTTTCCTCTCCAGCTGAGCCAGCTGGGTCCCAGTGGCCCGGCTATTTGATGACTGGGCAGGACTGAATTTCCCCTGGTGGGCGCGAGAGTGTGGGTTTTAAATCCCAAGCTCGGGTCACAATTGCGAGAATTCCAGTTGCGGGAGATCTGTCAGATCAGGTGGGAGAAAACACTCAAGAAGCCCGTGCTGTTCCCAAGATGGACATCAGGGGGCGCTGTGGGCCTGCGCGCAGCGGCAGTTGGCTGCAGACCGCATCTGGAAACGCTGCGGTCACCTGTCTGCGGGCGTGAGGCGCCCTCTGGAGGGACTGAGCCCGCAGAACCGCTCCTGCGGAGTGACCGGCACGCAGAAAGGCCATTTGTCTCTCTTCCCAGCGAGGCCGTGCGCTGTCCTCTTGCCAGCTGTGCCCCAGGCATACCTGGCACCAAGGTGGGGCTGGAGTAGACCCACACCGTTCTGTCCTGGCCATCAGACAGATTTTACTGCCTTGAATGTCACAGGGAGGGAAAGGGAGCAGAATTTCTCCCTGGGGAATGTCTTGCCCGGGGTCCTCTGCTCTTCTGTGCACTTCCAATGCAAAGAATTGCTCTTCACCGGGTGGTGCATGGTGTGGGCGCTGGAGCCAGACTCAGACGCTGCTCTGCCACCTCCTCCTAGCTGTGTGACTGTGAACAAGTCATTCAGCCTCTCTGGGCCTTAGTTTTCCTATCTGTAAAATAGGGGCAATAGCAGTACCTACCGTGAAGATTAAATAAAAGAACCCGTATAAAGAAGCTTGGCATAGAGTAAGTGCCAATGAATGGCTGTTATTGTTATTGTTAGGTGTTTGCTCTTACTAGTAACAGGGTGGCCTGAGTCTCAGAGGCCAACCTGTCCAAGTCCTGGCCCGGATCTGCTCAACCTTACAGGCCCAGCTCCTCCGTAGGCATGTCCCATGATTCCTCAGTTTCCCCAGAGGGGAAAAGCTCCAGCTTTGGCGACTTTCTGCCCTTCTCGGAATATTCCCCACATCAAGCAGCCTTCAGGCTGGGCCACGTGTCCCCCACCCCCAAATTTTCCCTAAAGCCCTATCTGTTGAAATTCCTGGTGGTCGTTTATCACGAAATCACGTTTATCCATTAAATCTCCCAGCTGCCCCACAGAGGCGGTCTCCAGGCAGAGTAATCCCCTCCCCTCCCAATCAGGGCGAGGTAAGTTCCCACCCAAGCTCCCTGCATAGCTCAGCCCTGAGTTGTGCCAGGCTCCCAGGCCTTGGGGTGAGTCTCCGTGCTCACGGGGGTGCCGAGGTATCATGGGAACCTTTAGCCCTTGGGCAGCTCCAGGGGGAGAGGACACAGGCTCCCACTGTGGCTGAGTCTGCAGCCTGGTGAAGCAGACCCTTGCCTGGAAGCCTCCAGCCCAGGGCTGGTCTTCTTAGACCCCATCAAGCCAGGGCTACCTGAGGGAGGATGTGGCCGCATGAATCAGGTGGTTCAGGAAGTGGCCCCAAGCATGTGGTTCTGAGCCCTATTGGGGTCCTGGCTCTGGGCAGGGACTGCTCTCTGGAAACACCTCACCCAGGTGGGGGAGGGACAAGGAAGATGCTGCGGCCGGCAGGGCCCCTTCCACCCCCCTCCTGCTCCCAGCAGATCCCGGTCTAGCCTTGAAAGCTTCCAGACTAGGCAGGAAGATGGAATGGGGTGGAGTCTGGGGGCTGCCAGAACCAGGGACTTTGAGGAGGCCCTTGGTGAAGGGATGACAGGCAGATGCCAGAAAGAACACAGATTTGGAGGGTTCTGTGTTGTTTTGTGACTGTTTCAGAAGGGTGTGTGTGTGTGTGTGCGCCTGCGCGCGCAGGAGTTATAAGCGGGGTAAAAATAAAATATAAAACACAGATACCCATATAAAATATAAGATGCCCAATTTTGGAGATATATTTCTGCTAAAAAAATTGTTCACTGTTTATCTGAACTTCAGCCATGCCGGGCAGCCTTTATGTTTGACTGATTTTTGCCAACCCTGCCAGCCCTAGCTGAAAGGAGCGTTGACTCAGGAGTCCGGGTGTGGACGCTCCTCCCCTCAGGTCAGCTCGGTCTCTGCTGGCAGGGAGCACCTCACCACAGCTGCTCCACTTAAGGCGTCTCCCCAGGTTCCTGCTGCCAGCCAGCGCCTCCACCAGAAGCCCCCAGGGGTCTACCTTGGGTGCCCCCACTTCACCGTCAGCCCTGGACTAGACCTAGCCTCCATCCTCTGCAGACCCTCCTCACGGGCCTCCCCGCCTCCCCATTCCCAGCTCCAGCTTCACCCGGAAGCCAGAGGGAACTTGCCATCCTGCAGCCCCACCTTGTCCTCCCCTGTGAAGCCCTTCAACCCTGCCCCCACTTCACTGCCAAACTCCCCCACAGGAACTCGAAGGGCCCAGGGCTCTGATCTGTGGTCCACCCCCCCCCACGATTCCTTCCTCGTCCTCTTGGATTCTGCCATACTGAACCACTTTCAGTTTCCTGACCAGCTGTCCGTGTTTTCTGGAACACTCTCCCTGTTCCTTCCATTTGTGAACCAATAGCGACACATCCTTAAAGTCTCAGCTTTGCACATCTCCAGTCCCCAGTTTGGACGGGAAGTGATCTTTTTTTAATTTTCTTTTTGAGTTGGAGTCTCACTCTGTCGCCCAGACTGGAGTGCAATGGCCACTCCCGGCCACCACAGCCTCGACCTGCTGGGCCCCAGCGATCCTTCCACCTCAGCCTTCCAAGTAGCTGGAACTATAGGCACGTGCTACCATGCCCGGCTAATTTTTTGATTTATTGTAGAGATGCGGTCTAGCCAAGTTGCCCAGGCGGGTCTCAAACCCGCGGGCTCAGGCAATCCACTCACCTCGGCCTCCCAAAGCACTGGGATTACAGGCTGAGCCACTGAGCCCGGCCGGGAAGTGATCTTTGACCTCCAGATCTGGGGTGGAAACTTCTTGGGCTCCACCACCCCACCCTTCCCCCATGAAGGAAGTTATTTCTCTGTACTGTGACTGCCAGATTGAGAGCATTTTGGAGACAGGTGTTGCATCTCATCTGCTCATTTATTCATTTACCCTCACATAATTGTTTCTTTTCTTTCTTTCTTTTTTTTTTTTGAGTCAGAGGTTCACTCTGTCACCTGGGCTGGAGTGCAGTGGCATATTCATGTCCACCACAGCCTCGACCCGCTGGGCTCAGATGATCCTTCCTCCTCAGCCTTCCAAGTAACTGGAACTGCAGGCACGTGCTACCACACCCAGCTAATTTTTTGATTTCTTGCAGAGACGAGGTCTCGCCAAGTTGCCCAGGCTGGTCTTGAACCCATGGGCTCAAGCAATCCTCTCACCTTGGCCTCCCAAAGTGCTGGGATTATAGGCGTAAACCGTCGCACCCCGCACACATAATTGATAATCACTTATATTTCACGCCCTGCACTAGTTGCTGAGGACAGTAAATGAGCAAGTCATCACATTCTAGTGTGTGTGTGGGGTCCTACAACAAGCAATTTAACAAACATAAAATATGACAGGCGAGGACATGTGCCATGAATAAAAACAAAGGAGGGGGAGGGGCCAGAGTGATCAGGAGCCTTGGCTTCAGCAAGGGGAGCTGGAGGGTGGACCCAGGGGTGCTGGATCGGGGGGCGTGGGAGGGCATCGGAGAGCCTGCCTGGAGCAGCTGGTTGCCAGGAGGGCAGGGCTGGGTCCAGGTCAGAGTGCTACAGCGATTCTTCCATGTGGTGACAGTGAACTCTGGGAGAGCTGGGGATGGGGGAGATGGCGGTTGAGCCTCCTCTTCAGAGACAAAGCTCTTGGAGGGGCCTGAGGTGGTCCTGGGTGTGTGTTCTCTGCCACTGGCAAGAGAGAAGCAAACTCAGTGTGGAAGGGTGCTTCCCTGAGTTGGGGCGGGAAGGACATCGCAGAGTAAGATCAAGCAAGGGGCATCAAGGTGAAACTTACCAAATCACAAGAAGGTAAACCACCATGAGTGAGAGTCAGCAGGAAAGAAAAGCAACGGATTTAGACCCCCCAGGGACAGAATTTAGGGTAGCCACGTGTAGATATTTAAAGAAAAGATACCCTTACAAAGATGAGTATATAAAACAAATAAGAATGAAGAGAGAGAGATCTGGGGGGGAAACAAATGGAATTTCTAGAAATAAAAAACATTATTGCAACCTGGGAGGGATGGCTCATGTCCATAATCCCCAAAACTCAGGAGTCTGAGGCAGGAGGATCACTTGAGTCCAGGATGTTGAAGCTGCAGTGAACTCTGACCACACCACTGCACTCCAGCCTGGTTGAGCGAGACACCATCTCCAAAATAAACAAGTTAATTAAATTTTTAAAAAGAAAGAAATAAGTCTCAAAATCTAAAATTCAAAAAACAATTGAATAGAGAATTTGTAAGCCAGAAGTTATGTATAAAGGATATAAAAGAGGAGACAAAAAGGTGTATAATATGAAGAGAGATGAAGAGATGCAGAGAACAGAACTGAAAGAGCTATGTATTAGCGTCCCAGGAGAAGTTAGTATCTCCTGGGATGGGGAAGAGACTGTATCTGAAGACAAAACAGACGCCAGGAGGCTCTCAGAACCAGAAATACAAAGTATCTCAAGCATATGAAATAAACGTAGGTCCCTGCTTATATACATTTTTGTTGAAACCACAGAATGTCAAAGGCAGAGAAGTGACAAAAGCCGTCAGAGAGTAAGGAAAGATGTCTGTGGAGGGTGACAGGAAGTGAGCTGACTTCCCAGCACCAAGGCTGGAGCAAGGAGATGGGCATAGTGTCTGTCAAGTGGGAGAACAAGTGAATGTCCACTGGGAGTTATGGCCAGCAAAACTACCTTTCAAGACCTGAGACAAAAATACACTGGACGTTTAAAGGTAAATAAAAGCTTGGAATGACCCAAAGAGGCTTCCAGAGGATGTCCTTCGAGAAGATAAATGATTCCAGAAAGTCAACCTGAGAGGCAAGAAGGTACGGTGAACACTGAAAATGGCAAATTATTCAAAAAATAATCTGGATAAGATCATTTCATTTGTGATGTTAAGGAAGAACAGATCTGAAATGTTGAACAATAGCAGTGTGTCAGCGAGGAGGGAGGTACTCAGTCACAGTGCTCTAGGGGATCAAGGAGGGTGGATATCAAGACACAGTATAGCAGCGCCTACTACCCAAAATGTGATGGTAAAACGTCAAAGGTAACCACTAAAATAAAAAAATAAAAAAGCCTACAGTGTGTACATTTCATTCCAGTAGAGAAAAACAAAGAGATAAGAAAAACACATCGAATTTAAGTAAAAAAGACAAGGCAAGAGAAAAATGAAACAGAAAAAGCGGGACTAATAGGAATCCAAGAGTAAGAAAGTATGGACATATTCAAATATTAATATATCAATTACTATAATAAATATAAATGGGCTCAACTGACTACTTAAGAGGTAAGAGCTACTGAGATTTCATGCAAAACCAAAATCCAGGTATGTACTGCTCAGAAGAAACATTGCTCATGTAAAAGGACTCAGAACATTTGAAAATAAAAGGATAAATCAAGATATATGAGGGAAAAAATAACCCAAAGGAAGCCTATGGAACTAAAGCAAAATAAGGTTTAAAACAAAATGCATCACTCGAGCCAGAGATGGTCACAACATAATGATAAAGTGTTTAGTTTCCCAGCAAGATATGTAATAAAGTAGCCTGAAAAGACATAAAGGCAAACATTGAAAGAAGAGAGAAATAGAAGAAGGCCTAAATACACAGAGAGCTATGCCAGGTTGGTGGACTGGAAGACTCAATATCGTTAAGATGACAGAACTCCCTAAATTGGGGAGCGTCCATGAAATCCCAACAGATATTTTCCCCACAAAGATACAAAGGCAATTTAGTGGAGACAAAGTGTAATTCTTTCAATAAACGGTGCTGGAACAAATAAGCATCCACATACAAAAATTTTGACCCATGTCTTGCACCATAGACAAAAATTAACTTTAAATGAATCATAGACCTAAATGTAAACTCTAAAACTTCTAGAAGAAAACATAGGCAAAAATCTTTGTGATTTCAGTTAAGCAAAGATTTCTTAGGACACAAAAGCATGCAAAAATTGATAAATTAGACCTCATGAATATTAAAAATGCCTCTGCTCTTCAAAAGCCATTCTTTAAGAAGGCAGAAAGACAAACCGCAAACCAGAGTTTGCAAAGTACATATCTGTCAAAGGACGTGTATCCCAACTATATAAAGAACTCTCCCCACCGGGCATGGTGGCTCACACCTGTAATCTCAGCACTTTGGGAGGTGGAGGCGAGAGGATTACCTGAGTCCAGGGGTTTGAGACCAGCCTGGGCAATTTGGCAAGACCTTTTCTCTACAGTAAATCAACAAATTAGCCAGGCATGGTGGTGCACCCCTGTAGTTCCAGCTACTTGGAAGGCTGAGATGAAAGGATCGCCTGAGTCCAGCAGGTCCGGGCTGTGGTGGCTGTAAGTATGCCACTGCACTCCAGCTTGGGTGGCAGAGTAAGACTCTGACTCAAAAAACAAAACAAAACAAAAACAAAAACAAAAAATTCTCCCTACACAAAAATAAGAAAATAACTCAGTAAAAATATGGGCAAAAGATTTGAACAGAAAGAATATACACCCAAAGAAGGGATGTGACTGAAATATAACCCGTGAAAGGATGTTCAACATCTTCAGTTATGAAGGAAATGCAAGTTAAAACCACGATGAGAATGTGCTGTAGGTCTACTGACAAACCAACTAAAAAACAAACGTAAAAGCCAAAACCGACCATACCAAGTGCCGACAAAGATGTAGAGCAAGCTGGGCTTGGTGGCTCAGCCTGTAATCCCGTGCCTTGGGAGGCTGAGGTGAGTGGATTGCCTGAGCCTGCAGGTTCGAGACCCGCCTGGGCAACTTGGCGAGCCCTCATCTCTACAATAAATCAAAAATTAGCCGGGCCCTGGTAGCGCGCGCCTGTAATTCCAGCTACTTGGAAGGCTGAAGCGGAAGGATCACCGGAGCCCAGCAGGTCGAGGCTGTGGTGGTCAGGAGTGGCCACTGCACTCCAGTCTGGGCGACAGAGCAAGACTCCAACTCAAAAAAAAAAAAAAAAAAAAAAAGATGTAGAGCAACTGGAAGTGCGATATTTTGCTGTGATACGGTCACTTTGGAAACAGTTTGTCAGTTTCCTACCAGCTAAATAGACACTGACTTTGTGACCCAGCAATCCCACTCCTAGATATTTATCCAGAGAAATAAAAACATATCCACACTAACACCTGTATGCAAATATTTTTTTTAAATTGACAACTCTGTTGAGAGAGAATTCATATACCATGGTGTTAACCCTTTTATCTAAGGTTGGCCAGGGGCTGGCATAGGCACTGTCGGGTTCTCTTGGTT